ATAAACGCGAGCCTAGCAGTTACAACAAGTATTCGAGATGAGTGAAAACTAGTAGAGATATGAGTACAAGGGCCGTCGTTGTTCATTGGATTGGGCTGCCGCGCATATGTGGGGAACCCTAATTAGCGTCGCACATAGACACGGATTCAGCAGCTACAATAAGTAGTCGAGGAGGCTACCGTCATCGTGGTGACAGCTTCATGATTGGTGGTCACCATCTATAGAACGTCATAGTTATAATAGGAAAGACGCCCACAGCATTTTGGCAGCACTGTATTATCTACAAGCTAGCTATGCATATCTGGGAAAGAGGATCACCCACAGGTGTCCCTCGCACTGCCACTGCAAGTTTGTGCTGTTATCTAACTTTGTTGCACGTATGGAACACGAGATCCATGGGAAAAATATCTTGCGAGCAGGTTCACCAAACAAAAATATCCCATTGGTTAAATCTAACGTGTCTAAAGCAAACGAACGCCTGCGATTGATCCTACAGGGTGGCATTTGTATTAAATACACTTAAGATGTTATTTTTATTCTTCAGGGGCACCGCCGAGCGCCAAACTATGCTAAAGTGCGATTTCCTGTTTTATGTCGCGTAAACCGGCAAAAAATCCAAATCGGCGATGGTCAATGATCTTGACATTTCGCTCATTTAAAAAAAATGCTACGTGCAACATGTCACGGGAAGGTGCAAATTGATTAGAATAACTTCACATAAAAATGGCAACTTCGAAAACCCTATAGTTTCGGCGAACTCAATTTCGGCGTGTCAATAGCCTGCGGCCATGCTATCAGTGAAGAGAGCATGAATTCATCCTCCCGCCTCGACTGTAGGTAAGGAGTTCTGGGCACTCTTCATTTGTTGGCTTCATATCGTAAATGGTCTCGCGCGACTGGGACGTTTAGGGGGCACAGTTTCAGATAGTCTAAATGGATGCCATCAGATTGATTTCAAGTGCAACATGCCCAGACCGCTTGGCTCAGCAGAATCATATCCCTCACCCCCATTCAAGCAACAACATGAGCCAGTGCAACCCTATGGATGAGATCGCGAGAGTTTCCTTGTCTTTCGCGCGTACCTTAGGGTCAGCAGGGCGGAGTGCGTGTCTTCAACTATGGTGGCTGCGTGGTTACAGTTACAGCACCAGCATCTGGGTCTCGGGAAGATATTTCTTATCCCGGAAGGATCTTAATGCCGAGGTCATTAGAGAAGAGGTATATTGGAGCAAGTATGTGCAGGTATGTGTGTGCATGGGCAATTGAGTATGCGTATTTGCGGAATGGATTTGATGAGTGTGTCTGAGAAAAGCTGACCCAGAATGAGGTGAAGAGCTTGCTAGATTGCAGCAGATTGGGCCGCCAAATTTGCTGAAGGAAGGACTTCGAAAAACCAAGGTTCGGTATAAAAAATAATCAGGATGGAGGCGAATTCTGTATTAGAACGTGGAGTGATACCAACCAAGCGCTGGACAGGACAACGTATTGCTCTGCACATAGGCAAACACCGACGCAGGCGTCTCACCGTAGACCGTTGAGTGGACGGAAGCCAAACGACCGATGCGGGCTGCTGTGGGGAAAATTGACCAGCCCCATGGGAGTTCAAGGATGATTTCACCGACCTAAAGATAGGAGAAACTGTTGTCTAAAAAACATAGGGTACGGGGGCTTTTTATAGGGTGCAGCTGTTGATACAGAAAAAAGCCTGACTCGGGACCCCGTGTAAAACCATGTGTCCGAAATCTTAAAGAACGTCTGAGAGGCAGGTTATACTGGTTTCGACATTGTTTATTGATAGTCAGTAAACACTGGTCAATGTATCAACACAATTGAGACGGGTATTCCAATTAACCTTCATAGCTTGAACACAGAACTGAAGCACCAATTCACGAGGCTGGGCTGGGTTCGACTATAGGCGGCTGTTTGTACAGCGTAGTGTGATATCGCGTTAAATGGGATAACTGATATGCACAATCGAATGGCGAATGAAAATGCATTGTTTATGCTAAATTTACTGCAGAATAGCACAGAAACTACAGCAGATTTGCAACTTACTGCCCTAGAACAGTTGTGCTTATTGATTTTGCAGACAGAAAGCGCAGAAAACCTGAAAAAACAGTTCCCTCCAAGCTCTTTCATACCTGTTCTCATTAGGCTCTTCACGGAATTCGAAACTCCCCCTGCAGTCTTGGAATCAGCCGCTCGGGTGCTAACCTATTATGCCCAGATTTTGCCACTAGACTGTTCCGCCAACTTATTCGAAATCGAAGGATCTATTTGCGCAATATGCATACGCCTTGAAAGCAGTGACCTGAGTGTGCAGGTTGAGAATGATCTTGCGCAACAAATAATAAAAGTAAATGGATTATTTTGCCCCCAAACTTAATACTTATTTAAGCTTTTGGAAGAATTGCTGCATCGAGATTCTAACATCACAAAAATTGCGAAGAGCATTTCAAGTATATTTGAATTTGTCTCTAGTTCATGGAAGTTGCTGCATGTGGACACTGTTCGGTAGGTAGAATTGCACAAGATCTGTTGTTCACCCGAGCGGTGTGTGCAAAACCTGCTGTAAAGACTAATGCGAAATAACTTTTGTTTTCAATCGGTTGATGAAGGACATCGTTGTCATATAAATCAGGATCGACTCTCACCTTCAGTAGTCATGTTTAGTAATGATGCGCACTGTTTCACTAAACATATTTCCACTGAATGCGTCACAGTCCGTCCCGCAAGAACTGCTTGTATCGCTAGTCGGTAGTCGCCAGACGGGCCATCCCCAGTTTCAGTGAATGCCCCTTAGCATTTATGAGGCGCAAAAAATAAAATATATATAGGGATATCTGCATAAATGCTCATCAAACTGATACCAGTTTAAGTTCTACACCTCAAGAACTACCTACATCTTGTTAAACGATTCCCCACCAATTATGAACGTGTGTCATGCTAATCATTTTCATACATTAACCGACACAGCAAGTTAATAGAACGATGTTCGAGGCAGAAAACAGGCCGACCACATTTTTCACGCACAGCAACGTTTAAATACTCACACGTCTCGAATCGGGTGCTTTAGGCGTGCGTTGCTTGGCACGTTTGCCCCATTTGTTGACGTTTTGAGATGCCTATTCTGGCTGAACAAATTGTGGATACTGTTCACAGGTCTGCAAGAAAAGGGAGCGCAAGTAAACTGTGTCACCTTTTTGTGAAAACTGGCTACAATGCTCATTAAAGCACGAGAAATTACTTTCAGTTAAAAGCAATTCCGATCGAACGTTTGGCTCAGTGACGATATAGTGATAACACCGTGCGTAATCAAGCTGGTCGCGTTACTTTTCTACCTGTGTGGAGGGTCTTTGCGCACTTCACCAAAAAAATTTAAAAAATTAGTTTGAGATTTGACGTTACGAGTAAAAGGCGACAAATAATAATGATGAAGTGCAGAAAAGCTCATCATTATAATGTTTAAATCGGCTTTGGACTTTTGCGAAAGAATGAGAAATTATTGTTTATCCGCATGAGCATAAGTTAAGGCCACACTTGAAACATGCATAAGTACAGCTCACTCCGAATAGGCATGAGCTTCAACCGGTGTTTTTCTCTTTTGAATCGCTGCGCGTAACTAAAGAAGAAGAAATATGTCGGTTTCTGGCTTCACCCCAAAACAATCACTCTGCACGTCACTTGTAGAATGCGTGTTAAGTTTTTAAATGTCACTGACATCAGCACCTAAATTTTTTATTGTAAAGCTTGGTGAATTAACTCGAATTCACCTAAAACTGAGTTTTTGCCATGTTATGAGGCTTTGTACGTTTATAAAGCCACAGTTTGCTTTTCTGGTGGAATTTAACCTCGATTAATTGTAAGGTTTTAGAATATACGTTTTAAGCTGATTTACTTAATGACTTAAATAGATAAATTGACTGTAATTTGTTTTGAGTTTGCGCACAATGGTGGAAAATTGTCACCAACTTTACCTAAACAATAATTGATCGTGCGTGTTCTACGTGGGTTAGAGGAAGTCTCAACTGAGAACAATCCATTTTGTCCTAAAGCGAATGGTAAAATTCATCTGCCGGACGGCAAATTAAAACGGTTTCAGTAACACTTGTAAGCCAAATGCATCGTATTATCTTAAGAGCCCGACAAAAGTTTTAGAAATTAGGTTTGAGCCCATTAGTTGTTGAACCCAAAGATTTAGTTTGTATTCCTCTGATAATAATGCAAATTAAGCTCAGACAGCTGAACATTTCCACCGTTGAATCTGTCTCGTGGTCCAAGTAAATATCATAGAAAAAGGTGATATTCCTCCACATTCAAGTACCACACCTACGTGATCAAGCATGTTACACTAACGCCATGGTAAAAATAATTTGCCGCCCATGCCCATCTTAAAAAATGAGGCAAGAATATGTGTTTTGCTTTCTGTGCCTTATGATACGACAAACTTCCCATGCACCCACCGATTTCATGATTACTGTGGTATCAACAACAATAGCTGATTCAGGCTGGTTCGGCTAAGAGCTAAACGGCAGTTTGCTATCAAAGGCAATTGAACCGAGTGACCTAGTTTGGCCTAATCACGTTATACATGCACTTTTTTGAAACCACATATAGCAAAATACCGTTTGTCTGGTATTAGGAGAGTGATGTAGCTGGGTATACTCAAACGTTTGAACAGTAATTTCCGACAATTATCCTGAAAGTATATATGGTGCGTAATTACAAAAAACAACACAATCTTTTATATGTTCATCTGTTTGACCGACTGTGCAGTCAAAATACCTCGTCAGAATTTCGCTTTAATTTTAGCCTACATAAATCGTTCTAAAATTGTACGATCCTTAGGGTTTTTAACTCCCTTTTAATACAAAAAATACGCTGGTTTTCGCATCACCTTGGATTTGACGGAAAGCTGAACTGAATTTTTTATTTATTCAGAGTTTTCAGAGGCTCCATGAGTGGCATGTTCCGCGGAGACAATATGTTCCAATATCTTGTAGCAACTGTAGTGTAAGACTGCCTTTTGCAGCACATGCAGTTGGTGAAAGACATCACAAAAGACCGATTAAATTCGTAAGCTGGGTTTTGTCGCACAAAACAGCAATGAGATCACGATGTAGATAACACACTTAAGCTCATCTTCTCCACCCAGGTCATTCGTCAACTTATTAACTACTTTGCTGATGGTTCGAACACTTTCCTCTTGAGTGTTTTCGACAGATGAATCTCCAACCTTTATAGAAGCACTCTATTCAGAGCTTCATGTTAGATTCTTGCTTTCTAATATTTCCTGAATAAGGTTCTAGCAGATTTAAAACAGGCTTGTCATATATTCACAATGGTAACTAGTAAATAAGAGAATCAAGCACAAACTGCTTAGGCCAACAGGCCCTATCTTCCTTAGTGGGACATGTTTAGCAGGCGTAAATCAGTCGGGTATAAAACCTTTTATTGAGAATTCCTGGGCTTTTTCCAAAACTTGCCCACTCATCGGTCATTTTGTAGAAAATGAGGATTTCCAGTCAGGTGTGCAAGTTGGGTTGCACCCTTCTACCAACTAAGTCAGGAAAACATCTGACTACTGGTGAGTAGTTTGAATTTCTACGTGGTCAGTTATGAATCCTAGCGGAGAACCAAGTAGTAACCAACATATGGTGCTGGAATTTTACCATCACATAACCGTCCGAATAAGACGTAAGTCAGCTAAAACCAGGGTTCGTCACGTGGAGAAAATGATAACCTTACTAGGAACCAGGGATGTGGGCCTATGTGGAGCTACTCAGTAATTAACTTGGAATTCCCAAAGGATCTTCCGTAAATTACTCACAATTTTCATTTCCTTATTTTGCTTCCTCATTCATGGACTGTGAAGAAAACTTGGGTGATGCTGCTGATGCCAGTAAATATTATCCAGATCTAAAAATCTAACTCAAAGCAGGAAGTGTGGATTATCCAACAAAAATGAACTTCAATACAGAGTAATTACTGTTGTGATCGTAGATTGGATGATTAATTTATCAGAACTTACGGAGTCCAAATAACTTTCATTTTACAGGGATACAGTTTACCTACCTCTCACTTTATTTGCTTTCTTTTTTAGTCACATGTTGGGATGATTGAACTTAGATGACAACAACATCAAAGCTTACAAATGAAGTTTATGCATAACACCTCAAGTATCAGAGATGTCTATACTATCTAAATAAACCAGTACGAAACAAGAATCAGGGATAAAGCCCCAAGGACGAACCCCTGTAAAAATACAAACCCATGGGTTTAACTGGTGATGGCTGTTGGATACAAAACTGGATGTGGCAACTCAAAATTATTTGCATGAATCAAAATGGATCCTACTTTGTGGTTCCTATTCTGTGTAGCTGGCAACCACCCGGTTACGAGTTCATTAGTACCCAAAGAAAAACACCCGTTCCATAGCAAACCGTAATCTCTTTGCGAGATGTCATTTGGCTTTTTGGGTGTGAGTTTAACACTGCTAGTTTCTGTCCTCAATTCCCAGCGTACTTTCAACAATAAGCCCGCAATTTAGGTTCTACTCATTGCGTGAGTTTCTAAATGGGTTGTCCAAAAATGTGTGTTTTTCAACATTCTACTAAAACTGGCATCATGACCGCACGTTTCAGTTTTCGTTCAATACACAGTATCAACTTGGTCCTGGGTAAGCGATAACGAAAGGTGAAACGAATACAGGCGAATAATGGGAAACGGACCTAAATTCTTAAGCCAAACAGTGAATGGTATTTTACCCCTTGAGGACATCATGGTGATCAGGCAATAAAATGGTGGCTCGAATACAGTCCAATTAAGCTAAGGTGGCTGTTGGCCTCGCCTCTTCTATCTGGGCCTCCTAATCTTACGCATAACGTAGCGTATTGCAGTGGGGTCATTGAGATTTAGTTATTTCGGGCAAGTACTGGGACATTAACTCTTCGAACCAGGGTTAACTTGTAGAGTGTACTGTTTTTGGCGCCAGTAGTTTTGACATTTCTCGGTCACCGAATACCTGAAGGTAATAGATTAGCTTAGACGAGGTTTGCTGGTAACCCTTTCTAATATCAGCGGATAAGGTCGAACATTCGTCCGACTCATTGTGCCTCGCACATTAAGTTGCTCTCCAACATTGAATTAATAATACTCGGACTGACTTGTGACGCAAACCGGAAATTACACTTAGCTGATTGTCCACTCCCCCAGTGGATGTCATCTTCACCCATGGAGCAGTCTAAAATTATTCTTCCCATATTTTTTCATACACTGATAATTTTTACTGTCATTTTTCATTTTGTGTATAGCTCTGGCTTGTTTGTGGTCACCAGATTGGCCAATGTTCTGGATTTATGGATGCACGAGGAACTGGCAACCCGGGGTACAAACTGGAAGTCATCAGGCCCAACACCAAGTTTAGTTTCTTCCCTTCAAAAATGGATCGCTGGCTTTGTACAACTGATTTCCCATCGTGATCTTCAGGTTTCCTGTGGTGGACTAGATTGCCTCCATGCAATTTTCTGCGCATGCAACCGTTTGCCACACTCATGGTCTTTACTTGAACGATTGACTTCAAAAAGTAACCTGGTCGACAGGTTTCTGTCTCTGCTCTCTCCATCATTGAATAAAACTCAGAAGAAAAAGTTCAAAACGGCGCCGGAATTAGATGTAAAGGATTGTGAAGGTAAGCTAGCCACTGTTCTTTATGATCGGTTCCTCTGAAAAAGTGTTATGCTCGATGTTGAGCAAATATCTTTTTGGTATGTAAATGATTGTCTGCAGGAAATAGTCGCCTCTTATCTCCGCGGTTCTATTATCTAACCCATTGAGAGCACATAATCCCAGCTCCGGTTTGTGAAGGAATATAGTGGACATATCTTTGGCATTTGTCGCTAACTGAAATTTTCAGCTCCACCAAAACTTGCTAGCTTGACAAAGTACTCTTTTGTAAGCTGTACCGTCTTGTGGAAGATCAGTCTGCGAAAGAACAATAGCGATACCATCACGACAGAGCGTTACTAGAGAGGTGATGTCGCGGGAACGCATGAAGAGAAAATTCTCGATAACAAGCTAAACAAGCATTAAAAATAATTACTATCACTAACTTGGTAGAACTTTAATCAACCTGCTTAAATTTGTTTGGAATTAGATGTTCAAACAGATCCTTCAGCATTTATTTACGTTCGGGAGGTGACGAAGTCAAAGTCACTTACATTTGATAACCAAATCTTACACAACTTGTACGAAAGAACGGAAGGACAAATCGAATCTTTGTAAATTTCTTCGACGGTGAAAATTGCTGGGTTTGGGGACAGAATGAGCAGAGTTGTTTCTGAGACTGTCATACTAGTTTCAATACACCCCGAGAGGTTTGGTGATTTGCATGAGACTTATGACTCTGTTACTCCGGAAATCAACGTATGCAGTTGCCACATAATCGCCGAAGGAATTAAAGTGATATTACTACTATACTCACTGGAATTGTCATTTCAGCCAGCCCAAGTCTATTGGCCTAGAAATATGTTTACATCATATGAATCAACATCAACTAAGTGGTAAGTGGACTCATTTTGCCACCTGCGGAACAGCTGCTTGAAAATGTCTAGTATCAGGTACGATTGATCATTGGCCGAGGATATCTCAGTAACTGTCCTGGTTCTTTCGATCACTTGATGTGTCAAACGAGGCTTTTCGTACAGAGCGTCGATCCCGAAGATTACCTGTTCGGGCAAAAACATGTCCATGCGACTGGTAGGAACTTTACCGGCTAGCTCCTATCTGGCGTCCCAATATTGGCCTTCTTGCTTTAGTTGGAACAAGTAGTGCTCGTATCGCGGCGGCAGAATGACTGCTGAAACGAAAGCCATCTGAATAAGCATGAGCAAGACTTGTTCTTTCTGAAGACCTCGTTAAAAGCCGGCCGAAGCGGCATAATATTACCCCCTTCAGTTAGCTAGCTTCTGGTTTGTTTTACACTCAGATATTTTCCCAGCAAGCCAAAAAGGCTGCCAATCAGGCAGAAAACTCTATTATTCTATTTCTGCACACGGTCAACCCTTGTTACTCCAGAAATGTAATTATGTGAGACAGCTATGGTGCGTCTGGATAAATCTCGATAACGAATATGCGAATATTAGATGTTGCGTACTCGTTCTCAAAGAAACTGAATTTCGGTCAGGTGCAGTAGACACTCGCAGCATTAGGAAAAAAATGGAGGGGTGTAGTATTGACTGATGGTCCGATTGCGGGTACAGGTAAACTGGAAATTGCTAAACCTCCTCACATCACCATCAATCAATAAGTAGCTCAGACAAATAATGATTTTACGAGCTATGTGAAACTTTCTTCTGAGAATTTGTCACTTGGAGAGCCAATCAGCACGTGACCACGTGATGTGGTTTCCGTGACTGAAGGATGAGTGCTGCCATTACCTTTCTAAGTGAGAGCGACTCACAGTATTGATCAGCCTCTTGTGACTAAACAGCCAAGTGTTCAACAAGTGGCCGGGATCACGTCTGAAATCCCCAGTAGGAAGGACTGTGCGCATTTCAGCTGAAAAGAGTGGGAATTCTAGGACCATTTTCAAAGGCATCAAATTACTTGGACAGTCAGGGAAACATAAAACATAAAACAGCCTGGATAAGTAAACGTCAAGGTGTACCTTAAACAGTTCAGACAATGGAATGACCTGCTATTTTTTCAGGCAAACTAAACCTGTATAACAAAACTTTCAAGTTTTTGATAACTAAGGCTGATAAATTGTAGACACTGATAGAGACAAATATACATCACATCACCTTGGAGATAATGACGCACGGCAGTCCGTGTGCGCCTATGACGGTTAAAGCTTGGGAGAGTTCGCTTACTTTCAAAGTTTAAGTACTTGGTTTTCACCCTTAAAATACACCCACAAAAAGAAGATCGAGTTTTTAGGAGAGCCAAATAAATGAATTTATCTGGACGGTTAAGCATCAGACTTCATTCATCAAAAACCCTTAGTGATACAACGGTTACTTCTATAATCACTAACTTTATGTAAACAATATCAATCAATCCGTAATAATAAGTTCCAACTTCAGGATTTCGTTAAAACGCCTTAATCAGAAAGGTACCGGTCCGAAGGGTCTCAGTTTAATCCAAAAAAAGATGTTTTTTGATATTAATCTTTAAATCTATGAATTTTAGGGTGCATTCATGGACGATATTTTGAACGAGGATTCGTTGTTTTTGATGCCAGATGTGAAGGGATGTTCGAGTGTACCAAAACTGCAGAGATCTTCCATCAAAGGTAAACAGGATAAAGGAAACAAGACTGAAACCTTCTTTCCAGTTGTTAAAGTCTAAAATGTAACAATGAATCCAGACAAACGAAGTTGTCCCTAGTTGTATGACTACTCATATTGAAGTCCCAAATATAAGAACGTAAATTATAGGATCTTAGTTCTTACTGATACTATTTCGGATGATATTTTTCGGGTAAATGTTAGTTTCATAAGAATGACCCGTTATTTTATGCTATTTACATCACTCTGACCCACAGACGAAACTACCTTCATCGGATCTTGTTCTGGTGGGATGGAAAAGGACACAACTTATTTGACAGGTCATTTGGCCATGGTCGTTGTGGATTTGCTCTTGAAGTTGTGCCAAGGTCCATCGAAAATTTTGTCCACGGTTGCACAAAGCCCATCCTTATCCCGACTATTTCAACATGCGCTGGAAGCTTTAACCGAGAACTACAGGTCAAAGGAGGCTAATGCACCGAACACCATTTCCGAAACGTACGCACTGGTATTAGTAAACTTCTTTACCAACTGCTTATCCGCTTAAACCTGTTTTCGTAAAAATCAAACCAAGGATTATAGCATTAGTATGGAGACTTTATGTTTGAGGTTGAGCCACTTCTGTTTGTCCTGGCACATGACCTCCAGCAAACGAAGAAAACCACTCACCTTCCCAATACTAGGGTAACGCCGTATGCTACTGATGAGGCGTGCAAGTAGTATACTTTCTGTGTTCTGGCTCCACCCCGTATCTGACGGAACGTGAAGATTACTATAGAAATCATGGAGTCACTTAGCAGCAGCCATTTTTCAAAAACAATGCAGAGGATATGCTTACTTTCGTCTATACTAGCTTGTAACCGCTTGTTCCGCACCTGCTAGTAAGTGACTTCGCATCTAGGCACTTTACTTCTTTCACTGGTACCTTAGGGCTGTAAACAAGGACACACGGCCTGCGATCCATCAAGAGTGAACACTTTTGTTCATCCGCACCAGTAGTTCTATTTATAGTGTTTCAAGTTACTGTAATTCTGTCTGCTGGTTTAGATTATTTGTCCTTAGTGTGTCCGATATCCACTGGTTTCTTTCTGGTTAGCTTGCTAATACCGATCTCCACCAACCACATTAGTTTGGTTAGGGAAGGTCCCTAAATTGAAGAAACAAAAGGAAAAGAAAAAGGAAGAAGTGCCGACCTACAAGAAACACCAAAAGTGCTTACTGATCCAAAGGGTTCAACGGAATATTTGGACAGAGGCGGACAGCACGAATGCTAGTTTTATCGCTTGATGACCATATTTTGTAAACTTTGCAGGCAAACATATACAGAGTTACGTGAACCTCATCCGCGAAGTCAGAAGGCGCATTCATCTCCCTGTCCCGTCATAATTTGCCTACCTGTTGGCAGGTATCACTGAATTATGCAAGCCCTGAATTATGGCTGTGAGACAGTTTGAGAACAGTTTTTTGACAAGAATCAGTGAACCTTTCAAGTCATCAACGACAGCATCTGGGCCGATCGTTTGGCGCTCAGTCACCTGCTGAACAACTGTTAGTTCTGACCACCCGAGAGATCTGGGAGATGCTCTAAACAAGAATGAAACCACTGTTCTTTTCAACGTAGACAGGCTTCAGTTGACTTAATCACACTACTGATCACCCGGTTGTAGTCGCGTGGTTTAGCATTCAACCATCAACGGTGAGGACGCAAGTTCTAATCTCCTGCGAGTTTGGTGAAATGCCCAGTATTGGCTATCCCCAGTAAGAATGAAAATGTCATACAATGCTTCTTGACCTTTGGCATAAGCTGACCTCACTTATAGGACGGATTCCCAGTTTAAAAAATCCTAAATCTCTTCATGCTGTCAAGAAACTTTTCAGTTCGTAATGATGAGCTGGGCAAATTTTACCCATAATTTTTGTGGTTAATCTGATCGGAAATGTTGACTTCTTCGCCTTGTTGAGCTGACATTTCCGACCGGCATCTTCCGATTGAAATTGGCAAGAAACCCAGGATAAAGTAGTCAGTCCTTTATTGGTCTACGCTGACTTTTTATTTTGAGTTTTCGTTGGTCACTACAGCCTTTCTTCCCATATATTTTGGTGTTTTAAAGATAAACCGCCAAAATTTTTGACTATCTGATGTGCAATTGTTTGCCAAATGCTTTTCATATCTTCCTTCCGTGCTTTTTCCCCGACAAAACTCCAAAACAGTGGCTATGCCGATGTGCTACTTCCAGCACTCCATCTCTCCGAAGGATTACTTAGTTTAGCAATGAATCTTCCCTATGAACCGCTGAACATCGGGTCTTCCGAACCACCCACCGAACCTTTCGAGAAAGATGGGTGGGAGAACAGAGAGTCCAAGCCTGGCTTGTTAAAGCCAGTGGCTTTAAATGTAAAACCAGCTAAGCAGAGTGCACCCGAGGAGGAGGAAGCCAGATCTGTGTGGAGGACCTGTCTCAGTGCTAGGCTATTCAGCCCCAAACAGGCTGATCAGATTTCCGGTTACGTACGTTGTGGCTTGCCGTGTTTGCCCTCGTTCACCTCTTCGTCCTCTGGAAACTCCACGAATAGTAGCGGCAATCCTCAGATCAGTCAAACATTATTTCTTGCCGCTCGTCAAGGATTTGATCACCTTGGCATAGCTGACGATAGCAAATTAGCTTCGGAGAGATTCCATTACTGGCTTACAAATAGCATGGCAAATCGGGCTAACATGGGTAAGTTGAATGTACATTTTTTTCCAAATACCCTCGATCAACTGACGTATGCACAGTAAAACAAAGTCCTTGCTTACGGAAGCCGGCCGCTAAAATCCCAGTTTGCCCTATTGAGAATCAGAATGGTTTAGCCTGTACCAAATTCCAAGCGTCCGGTAAAGTGCTTAGTTAGATATGGTTCATAAGCATCATCGACAGCATGACATCAGTGCTCAACGCCGATGCTTCACTGCCGTACAACCATGATTTACTTGAAAGCCTTATTGTAAAGAAAAGAGTAAAGGTGGGAGGGGGAAGGCACTTAGTGCTAGCTTACCACAATCATTCGGAGATGCCTATACCTATGTATAACTTACTTGTTACTTTTCCCACCCACAAGGAGTATATTGTTCCCAACCGCTCAACAAGGTAACGTAAACAATGGCTTCATTGCTTTCACATATAACTGGATGCATGGGACGTGGGGTAAGACCTTCTCAAAATACTTGCGAATGCTTGGCCACACAGTAGAAATAATGTGTACTAAAGACATGCGCACTGTGGGTTAACACACTTCGAAGGTCCTTTGGAATCTTATCTTAATATCGTATTCGTCCTAGATCAAGTGATCTCAGTCGTGATCAACCTTGTCCAAAGTATCTCATAATCAGAAAATTTCGGGTCCTAATTAACAAGGTAGTTTTTGTTATCGTCTGCACAATTGATATGATTTATTACCAAAACGAATTAGTCCCTGTTTACACTGCAATATAGGTACCTGTGCGGATCAATTAGTAAGTAAAATAATGTATACATTTTGGGCCACGGGTCAGTGTTAGGCCACGCTAGATGAAGGACATGAGAACTGATAAGTAGGGGAGATACGTGGAAGAAAAATATCCAGGTAATTAGAAAACCTATACCACAGCCCATGCCGTCCAAAACTACCTTCAATATTTTTACTATTTTTAAGAATTCTGTAAACGCCTAACATATGGCCGGTAAGTAGTCCGCGAATTTGGTAGCTTTTTCGCCAAAACTACAATGGACTGCCTATCATGTTTCGAAAAACCTACTCACTTATAATGTGAGAAGTTTGAAAATTTCCTACGGACCAGGGGAATGCGTAATTTTTTCTCGTAACCGAAATCAGAGAACTGATTATTCACAGGAAATGCACGGACCTTCCGGATGGTATCACAAAACAGTCTGCATTATGAATAGTTTCGTTGAGTGTGTCAGGACAGAGCTAACAGCCCCCGTGTTGGTAGGGAACTGACAAAGAAGGTCTCAAGGAATACTGGCAGTAAAACTCTGGGATTACGTAGTAGGTATATGAGGATTAGCCGCTGCTGTATAAAGGTTCCAGCAACCCGGTGGGAAGTGTTTTAACGCTGGAAAATCAGTGGTTATGGTGACGATCGTCTACGAACTTGTGCGTCTCAAGTATTCTGCCAATCCTGGGATAATATAACTATAATACCATGACATTCTGGTAATTTTCTTGTTGAAAACAAGGACATCGTCCAAGGTTTTTTTGAAACGCTAAATGGTTATCGGTATATTATGCTCCGTCTTTGGTTATGGTTTTCGATAACAACATACTCTAAACAGAGCTTTGGTCCAAATGACCGGGTAGAGATGGGAATTTTCAGTGAGGTGATTGGAGTCATAGTTGAAAAGAGACTATAGGCAAACAACATCAATGCAGAGGGAAGTAGATCTGATAAAAAGCGTACTTAAAGAAATCGGGAAATTCGCTCGGCTAGGTTTTGGATCGTCCGCGTTGGAAATAGTTTTATAATCGAACGATAAAGGTAAACTGGCATGGTAAAAATTTAAAAAAAATAATAAGGTAAAAAGGAACAAGTAAGAGACACAAGGCGATATACCAATGGAAGTACACTTAGGCTCTGACCAGCAAATCCGGCTTGCATCTCAGCTGAGATTCCAAGTGATTTAAAAGAAGTAAGTTGTAATAAACCGCTGCGACCAGACATATTTCGAAAAGCCAAATGATCTCTTTCAGAAAAGAGCGACCCCTGGTGAGTAGATCTACATCAAATTCCGATTTTAATTTGAATAAATACTTTTCACAAGTCATTTAACCCCTCTTTTAGTACCTAGAATTTTTGCAGATTCACTTCACAATGCTTTGTACACTGACTGTATTGTATATCTCGCGTCTGCTGACTCGAATTTTAATAGTATCCCAATAATCCTAGGTCCACTTCACAGCAGAGGTAAGTATTCTATAGAACTTGCCGTCACATGATCATCACACGGCAAGCTTTTAAGCTCATTGTTTTACGATAAAGCTTACAGAAGAAATACCAGGTTGTTTGCTTGCACAAGGGTTTTTAGAGCAATCCTACGGTGTTTGCCTGAGCGACTAAAACCCTTAACTCTGTTACCACAAATGCTGGCTATCAGTTTCATGCACCTTGAACCCAAAAACTAGAGAAAATCTTTAACATTCTACAAGTCTTTCAAATCGAATTTGCCGATGTGGTTTCAAGCCGCTTTTACCGTGCAACTCGTTGTCCCACCTCGTTGTTCACCGATGTTTCCAACACCCCACAGCGGATCTATTGTCAGTACTACAGTGTGGTCAAATCAACGGATATTGGATGGATTCGGGAGGACAGCCTCTGCTTTCCTGGTCCATCGCATCTGGCCACGGAGCTGCTACCGTGGCGTTGTGTAATCGGGGCGCAGACGTGAACACCGGACTCACTGGATGCGCAATTCACTATGCAACGATTTTTGGACAACTGGAATGCGCGCGCAGCTTGTTGGGACTTGGTGGAGAGAATGGCGGACCTTTAACAGAGACTTCAGTTGCAAATCCACGAATTCGTGACTGTTATGGTAGAACTCCTGTTCAGCTGGCGATGAAAGCTTTGGAGGCCGCATTAGAGCGTGCTTCCCCTGCGGCCGACAAGTATAAAGATTTAGTCAACTTACTTCGTGAAGCGGAAGCTAGTAAGTCCTTGTACTCAAATCAGCATGTAACCGAACTGTAGGGTTCAAACGAGATGTTAACACATCTCTGAGCTCACCACTTGCAAAGCTACTATCGTTGGCCATACCGGTATTAACAGAGATCTACATTAACACCGCACAACCGGAGATAAGGTAAGAGCCTGGTGTTCATTGTGAAATAGGTTTTTTTACACAGATTGCCGTTGTGTTTTGCTACTAAACCCTTTCACTAGGCAGTACGATGATATGGTACCGCTCACAGATATCGAGTACGCAGACGACATAGCTCTTCTGGGATCTAATCCCGTGGTAATGCAAACAATATTAAATAACCTAGATGATTCCGCCTCACGGTTTGGCATGCGCTTCACACCTGCAAAGTGTAAAGTGCTACTGCAAGACTGGGTGGACTCGAGCCCTAGCTTCATGCTTGCGGATGAACCGATTGAGGCAACAGACAAAGTTGTTTACCTGGGCAGCGGCATCAGTCCCGGTAGTCTCGCAAGAGATGATATTTCCATCCGGATAGGGAAGGCCAGAGCAGATTTTTTGAACCTGCATCACCTGTGGCGTAGGCGTGACACCAGCTTATCCATCAAAGGTTAACTTTGCAATGCTGCGGAGCGCTCCTTATTACCATATGGATCAGAAACCTGGACGCTGCGCACCGAGGACGCCAAAAAACGTTCAGTGTTTGCATCGATGTTTTCGGAGCATTGCCGAGTCTGGTTGGAACACCGGATTAGCAATGCTGAAGTTCGTCGAATGGTATTCGGGGGAAATAACTCGCCCTGGATAGATGAAATGATCACACTGCATCGGTTGCGCTGGCTTGGCTACGTGCTGCGTATGCCAGTCGACCGAATTCCTCGAATGGGTCTTTTCGCACAATGATGTGAAGGATGGAAGAGAGCCGGAGGCGGTCAAACAGTGACTTGGCAAACTCAGCTGTGCTGGTCACTGCTGTCTTCCTGGATGGGAACCCCGAGACGGGCCATATCAATGGTTAGAGACATTGTCAGATGTGGCCCAGTCGCGCCCTCAATGGCTCTCATGCATCCAAGCTCTTGCCTTCAATCCAAAGCTCCCTTCCCAATTTCCCCATTTGACAGTGCTGTATTTACGCACGGATTTATCAGCTCGCCTCCATTGCGCAGCTATCTACCCCACCCTCACCCCCACGCCAAAGCATCGGTGGACGAAACTGTGGTAGCTACAACCAATGTACGACAAGTAAGCGGTTATTACAGCTGACAATGATGATGATGACATATTATATCACCAATGTTTTAAAAAGCGAATCATTCAAGTAGCAATATTTTATCGGATGTAAGTGCCTTTTGTGATTCTAATGGATTTTGCATTGATTCGGAGTAACATCTTAGGCATTTTCGAACACTCGCAGGGTTCAGTGTGTTCACATATATATCTAAAGTCTGTTTGTGTGGTGTTCGAAAGTCAGTAAGCAGGCTGCTGACCAGTGATAAAGGTTTATTCCCGCTTCACACTGAACGTCTCAAAGACGCAATGTAGGGTAACCACAAAACTGTACACAGTCGGCTGTTATCAAATTTGCTATTCTTATCGACCAGCCTTCATCCGTTATTTATTCACCCGACTGTGATTTGCCGAAATTCGCTTGTTCTTGCCTCGTATTCTTTGCCGAATGCCACTGTTTATCTGGGCCCGGGAAAGACGGCTTCTTGGCAGCAGATTTAACTCAGAATCTTCATACTGCGCATAATCATGGGATTCTATATCTGACCCAGCAGCCGTTACCTGCGACTGTTGTCAGTTTAGTTCACAGCCCATGAAACGGTGGACTTCATGCTTTACAGTGGAAGTTCCGACTCTGTCTTGTTTTTTCTCATTCTCGAGCGAAAACACAGATCAGAGGTGTGAGAGGTGTGTAGTTAGGTTTATACTCTAGATTATCCGAATCCATGAAACTTCCATATTATTGCTATTCTCAGCTCGGGCTTTCGGTACGATAGCTCCTATCGAACCCCGTTATGCTTCACCTAGCACGCTCTGCGCTATTTCATCAATTCGATCATCGCTACTAGAGCAATGAGTGCTTGTGTGGGCGAAAACATTCGAAAGGGGCTAATCACTGTTGTAAATAACTATATTCATAAAGTAGTAGTAGTTTGAGAAGACTAAAATGTGTGTAATTATAGCTCTTGAATGTGTTGGTACAGAAGTACATTGCAGTTCACTATCGAACTGAATTAAAATCATACAAAAGATGATATATGAGCATGATTATGTGCGGTTCGTTTGGTGAACTACTACACTTCATGTGCATCTTGGGAGTTTGAGAATGTGACCTGAACTTAGCCGTTCTAGCTGTCTGGTTCCGCTCAAGAGGCTCGAAAACAGTCTATGACCATTTCTCAGAAATAACTGCTGATATCGGACAAAACACAGGTGATCAACCTGTACCTGGGGAAAATCCTAGGGCATATCCCTCCGAAGTGGATAACCTAGAGGGAAAATACGGTAGTGTTTGGAAAGAAGTGAGAAAGAAAAAAATGTTATTTATTGTTTTTTTGTTGAATAAGTGCTTAAGAATGATTATTGTTGAGAGCTCCTTACAAATCAAAATTTGGGAACATCATAAAGTAAGCTGACACTAAGCAACATTATCACACCACTTATGCAATCTAAAGTGTCACTTTATCCAATATTAATTAGCATCGGGACTTTATCGCAAAGGTCATTGAAGAAAATACGTTCGCCATTTTAGCAGTAAGCTATTCTGTACGTTGTGCCTTTTCCGGTCTTATCAGATGCCCTGCTTATTATTTCATCGGAATTTTGGCGACCTGCATTTATTAACTTGTTTAAATCTAACTATATCATGGGAACGGGAGCTGGTTTGATTTTGTCTTATCAATAGCGAGGTTCTACTGAGCTAAATGATATGTCCTTTATGTCTTACTGATACTTCAGAATAAGAGTTTTACAAATCCTTGCGAGAAGTATCCGCTGTAGAACCGGTTTTATCGTGCTCTACCAAATGCAAATACCGCAAAAACAAGAATCTGACGAATCCAACAGAGAGGCAGACATATGCCATGGGCAAGCTTTGACGGAGCACTTCGTTCAAATGCTTGTTCATGCGCTCAGTCAGGTATGCTCATGTCATTAAATGTGGTGTGGGTAATAATAGTATACCTTTGTCCTCAAAGCCGTCTGCATTTATTGTCCTGTGATGATCACCTGTCGAAGCGTAATGTGTGCGCAATTTTAAGTTTACGCGGCTCCATCACTATTAGGCCCAGTGGGATCTGTAGACAGGTGGCTGATTCTTGAAAAAAGGTATATGCTTAGCATTTCTATGTCATTTGGGAATGTGAACCTTCGGATAATTCCTTGAAAACAGGTGTCAAACCATCTAGCTCAGCATAAGGTACAAAATCTTCCACAGTCAGTCATTTTTGTACGTATTGCATGACTCAACGGTGGCTTAGGTGAGTTCCGCCAAACTACTGAAGCAGAAATGCAGACGTGACGTGTTCCAGTTGTATTTCCATTTGGGACCACTTCTCTCTGAGGCCGTCTGGTGTAGAAAAATAAACGGTGGAATATTCGTAAACATGAGAACAGTCGTACCTTCCCATGAAATGCCTCCAGCTCTTATATGTTTTAAGACGCCATAAGTGCAATATGGTCTCACCCACGAGCACTACCTTTAAGAAATTTGTGGGGAGTCTGTCGGGAGTCCTATCTTGTTTTCTTTGAGCTATGCTTTCCTCCCTGGAGTGAGGGTTTATTTCGGTTTTCTTGACATTGCCTACCCATAAATTAAAAACAAAACAGTGCAGTAATGGAACGTCGTCTAGAATAACAGCTCATCTGAATGACGTAAATTCGTTAGACATACAGGAGATTCTCGTTAACTTTGATATCAACTTCACGTATACGAATGTCCCTGAGGTGGACGCTCAGGAAGTAGCGAGAAGTCTGTCACTGGCAGAGAACGCTTCACGTAGCTGATGGCTCGAAAGTATTTTTAAACCTCATTCACTCTTTTTTTTATCCAGCTATGTGCTTTCCAGAACAAGGGATCTCCAGTCTCCCCGATTTAGGCCAACATGTACATAAAAAAATTTGAACAGAAAGCTTTAGACGAATTCGAGTGTCCACCGTGGATTTCCTGGCGTTACGTAGATGATACGTTCGTTGTAATAAAGTGTGATACGGTTAACGAATTCTTTCAATATCTCAACAATTTAGACTCTTACATTAAGTTTAGCATGAGGCTAGAGTCCACATCGGGTACACTACACTTCCTTTGTTTCATGACACATTAGTTCGGTGAGAAATTAAAACGGACTGTTTATTCGAAATCAACAGATAGTGGTGCGGTCTTAAACTGCTCCTCAGTACACCCAAGAGCATTATATGCTGATGTACTTTCAACAATGTTTAGAACTAGAGACCGTGTTTAAAAAATGAAATGCAACGACTATACGAAGGTTTATGTAGGTCAGACAGCCATGCGACTGCGCACCATAATCTGTGAGAAAAAGCGAGGCATTAGCAGACCACAGAGAAACGTATATGGATATCAGGCGACGGTCAAAGGTTTGGCAATGGCAGGGCATGCACTGGACACTGGGCATAGGATAGATTCAGAAAATGTGGGCATTTTGAAATGGAGAATAAGATTAACACCACAGCCACTGGTAACCGAGGAGGTGGAAATCGTCAAGCATCTCAGTCTGACTAGAATAGAGGGCGTAGAACTGGCAAGCGTGTGGAGAGTGGTTTTAGATCAGCCGAGATGACACGAGGTGGTTTACTCATCACTAGAATGGTAAGATTCACTTAACCACCCCCAACCCCAATCCAATAAACCTGGCAGTTTTTGACGCACATAGACAAACAAAATCTGTGAATTATCCATGATGGTGTCCTAGACCGGAAAAACAAAGCCGCGAAATCCGGATTCAACATGATGACAACCTACCCCCACTCCTAATCAATCTGTCGTAAGTGTAAATGTCACCTCCACTAACCAACAAACAGGAACTTCAGACGGACACCCAGCACTGATAAAGTCAGCTGATCATAAGAAATCTCATGGACTGGCTACCTGACTACCTTAAAACCAAATCAACCTTGAGCGAAATACACTAATTTGCAAACTACTCTGGTTTTGCGAGAGACTCACCTGGAACCCAGCCAAATCTCCGTTTGTGATGTCTCCATGCCACCTGCGTTTGCAAGGTAAACTCATTGGATTAAGATAGAAAGTGGTCGTCCAGGCGATCCATCTTTGAATGTCCTTCCAGCCACATTAAGCAGTGTAGCTGCATAAGAGTATTTGCTACGTAGGACACTTTTTATATGAAAATGCCGATACTGTGGAAAGTTGCAATCTAATCGCCATTCATCGTCCTGCTCCAGGGGTCCTCTGAAGAAGTGCTGCTGGCACTGACAATGATTACCGCGTTGATAGATCAGCCATTCTTCCCGATGTGGATGCATCGCTATGGGATCCCGGATCTCTTACTGTGGAGGGCCAGAATCTGTGAACAAGAACAACAGGATAAAGTAAAAAAGCATGAGCAACAGTCGAAGACCGAAAAACAGCAAAGAGAACATGCAAAATCTTCAGGAAAACCTAACCCTCGGGAAACTGTCCCAATGTGTATACCTCCATATATAAAGAAGCCAACGGTTGGTTCGGCTTATTTTTATTCGAGAGGTTTTGACACAGTGACAACTCGTTTTGCTTATGGATGTAGTTCTTCTCTCATATTTTGTTGAATTTTGAAGTCTTTGAAACAGAAAGCTGCAGTGAGCCTAGACTTTTGACCGTACTGCTCTGTCTGTACAGTAGTATTTCAGTTCCCATAAACAGCTGTCCCTAGGTTCTGGAGCATGGATGTAGTTCTCATATTTTGTTGAATTTTGAAGTCTTTGAAACAGAAAGCTGCAGTGAGCCTAGACTTTTGACCGTACTGCTCTGTCTGGTCTGTAGTATTTCAGTTCCCATAAACAGCTGTCCCTAGGTTCTGGAGCATATTGATGTGTCTCGAAAAAGAGCGTCGTTATTTTCTAGGAAGAAGCGTCCCCCGGGAAACGCGGACTTCCAGCTCAACAGCTGTAGTGCTTTCCGTCACAATCGTAAAATATCCCTATATAGGGAAGGATGGTTTACAAAAAAAAA